CGCCGCCCATGTGCACGGGGCAGACGGAGATCAAGGAGACCTTCAAGTACATCAACACGGTGGTCTCCTGCCTCGTCTTCGTGCTGGGCATCATCGGCAACTCCACGCTGCTGCGCATCATCTACAAGAACAAGTGCATGCGGAACGGGCCCAACATCCTCATCGCCAGCCTGGCCCTCGGCGACCTGCTCCACATCATCATCGACATCCCCATCAACGTCTACAAGGTGAGCGGGGCAGGCTCGGGCTCCGGCGGAATCCCGCCTCCAGCCGGGAGCAGGGCCCCGGGGAGGGGTGGCAGGAAACCTCCCTGTGCCCCAAATTGGACAGCCCGGGTCCCCCGGGCGCTCATCAGCCGTGTTTCTAACGCCAACACGAGCGCCTTCACCCGCCTCTTCCTCCTCCTCGCTTCACATGCGTGGCTTCAAACRCAGGGGTTTGGTACTCGCAGCTTTGCAAAGCCGCGTTGCATGAGCGCGTTTTTGAGTCCGGCTTTTTGAGTTTTGAGTCCAGGTTTTTGAGTCCAGCTTTTCGTATCAGCGGTGGTGGCTCCCAGAGGCTGTTGGAAGCTGTTGAAGCTGCTGATTCTTTATCCTTGCAAAGGATAAAGGCAAAGGATAGGCGAAGGATATCCTGGGAAAGCAGTGAACTCRCAGGCGCATCACGAGTGTGGCAAACTGTTGAGCTGCATAGTTCTGATTACATGAAAATTGCTTCTGTTTGCAATTTGGGTAACTTCCCWAACTATACATTTATCAAGGTTTGCACATGAGGCTACCAGTTTTCTGAGCAAGAGTGGAATTTATGGGGAAAAAATAATACTCAAGATGGACTTGTTTGAGTAACTTTGCAATTGTTAAGAAATCATTAACTGAATAGAAAGATTTTTTTTCCCTTCCATTCTCACAGAAAGGGCGAAAATAGTGTGTTAATTGCACAACTGCTCATGCGACAGCACAACTGCTCCCTGCAATCACAGGGACACAGACATGTCAAAATTAAAGATGTCAGTGATAAAAAGCAATAATATATTGCAGTCCTTATCTGGGCAGAATATCGTTAAGTATATCATTGTGAGTAGGTTGGAGCTGGAGGAATGAAAGGTCAGATTGCATGTTGATAAATATTAGACAAGCTGCAAGTCTGGCTTTTTTTATTGCGCTGCTACCGCTCGTGCCAGGAGCGGAGCATAAGCTCTCAGGTGCCAAAACTTCCACGCTGAAGTCTTCTCATCTTAACCATCACATTCATCTTAACCAAAAACCCACCTTGAAATTACACTGTTAATGAGTAAAGTGATCAGTGAGTAAAATATTTGCTGTTTTAAAACAGGGTTTTTGAATAAGCATAAGCAACAACAACAGGAGAAAAGACCATAGATTGTATTAATTTGATTCTTTTTTCATMAAGATTGAAGCATTTGTCTGTAATTAGAGTTTTTCTTGTTAAATCTGTATCTCATTTAAAGCCACCGCAGAGCTGCCTTATGAAGGATAACAAAGTAATGTCATCAAACCCAGCTATAATCAGCTAGTAGTGTGGGGAAAACACGTCAGCAAAGTCWTATTTTGTAAATCAAGCGTACTAAACAGCTGTAACCTGCAGTTTGAAACAACTTTAAAGTGAATGAAACAGCTCTTCAAAATCACTGTGAGGTACACAACTAGTCAGCTACACAGAAAAGGGTATGAAAGAGTTTGTTACAAATTATTACAATTTTTTTTTTTTTAAAAAGGCATGGCTTTACAGAACCCTTCACTAGCAAGTGTGGAAGTGCCTGTGAACACTTTCCAGATCGATCCATAGCAGAGAACTTGAAATTTTCACTGGGACTATAACTTTATTAGCTGTTAGATGTTATGACTGCAAAAGATGTCCCTTGTGTATTTAAGTCAAGTGAATATTTAAGTAGCTGGAAAAGATAAACCAGTGCAGATTCCAGTCACCCTCAGTTGAGGGTACTTAGGGATAACCAGATATTATCTGTACTTTGAGACAAGAAAAATGCAGGCTAATGTGTAAAATGCTGCTTATAGTCCKTTACTATTGATAGGTTTGCATGCTGACATTCACCAAGACATTCAGCAGAAGATGGAAAATATTGCAGTCTTTCAGTAATCCGGAAACTGAGTGTGAGAGGGGAATGAGATGATTTGGTGGTTTCTGTTCCGTCATGCAGAACATGGAAGATCTTTTCAGCTTTTGGGGTCCTGGCAAACAGTCTGCTTTGGCTCTGACCCCAGAACTGCAGAATGTGAAGTCAAGAAAAGAGTGAAAACAGTCACTCTACAGCATGAAATATTATGGCAGTCTAAGTTCTGTGCCAAATTATTACTAGTTATGTAGGATAGGAGGCTGCTTTTATGTCTGGATCAACTGCTTCACAAAGATGTGCCAAATTTGGGTGTCTTCATTAATTCAAGACATGCAAAGCAGCAAACAGCAGTTGTGAGTGTGAGCAGAAGGGCACGGTAGGAAATAATAATATATTGCAGTGGTGAGTGGGCTCTGTGTGTCCTTCCCTGCGCGTGCGGTGCGTGGAAGGCTTGAAGCAGGGCAGCTTGTTTGCCAGGCTGGGCAGCCTGCGGGTCGGGGGGCTTTGTGCTCAGGTTCACAAAGTGAGGAAAAGGTGGCAGTTCTCATGTGCAAGATGTCAAAACARTGTTGAGACTGAAAATGCCAATCTTAATGTTGCACAACCGAAGCTCTGCCTCCCACGCTTATATCTATAATGATATAGGAGCACATACTTTGTCGAACTATGTCATTTCTCAATATTATAATACCTTGCCTTCTTGTTTAAAACATAAGCACCTCTCTCTCTGTGGTTACTGGCTTGTTAAATCCGATATGTTGCATTGTTCCCCAAGACTGTTAACAGCAGAGACGCTTTGGGCCAGGTCATAGTTTTGCTTCAAATGTTCACACAGAGAAATAAATGTGAGGGATCAGGGCACATTCTACACACACTCGTGTGGCTTTCTGAACTCTGGCTATTATTATTGCACAAATGAGCAAGGGAGAATTTGTACTAGAAAAACTGTCACAGATTCCTTATCTCAGGGCAAAATGTAGGAAATTTCCAGGAATGATCAAAATCCCATCATTGGCCAAGCAAATGATCAAAGGCCAAAGTCAGCTTTGTAGAAAATTTCTTTTTCCATAAGGTATTTTAGGGATTACATTAAAAATATATAGCTAAAGAACTCTATAGCTAAAGAAAATATAGCATTGCCAAAAACTGAAAAGATAAGATGGACCAGATCAGGGGACTGTATGTCCTGTACAGCTTCAATTTGACCTCCTTCTTAATTCAACTGTGTGCTAGAAAATGCAGGGTTTCCTTGGACATGTCTGCCTGACAGTCTTAGATATTCTTAGATATTCTGGTGATACAAGAACCTATAGAGCATCAATCACCCTACATGATGAAGTTCAACTCTGTCTSTAGTCCATCTTGTGTTAAAGAACTGGGAGAAATGAAGAGAGTTGCTTTTCTTTCAGCGCGTGAACCATTTTCTTGAGCTCAAGTTCATCTCTGGGCAGAAATCAAGCATTGAGAATTTCTTACTCAAACTTTAAGCTATGACCATATTAAGTTACAAGTTTTGTTTGCTTAGCATCCCTGTATGGTCATCAAATGCAGATGGGCACTTAGCAAAGGGTGCTGCAGCCTATCTAAGATCTGTGTCTTCTGCTGGAGAAACCTGCCCGTCTCCGTAGGCTCTAGGGAGAACAGGGACACGTTGTTCTCTAGTTAGGTGGCAAGATGTTAGGTGGCTGTAGTCCAGGTTTGGGTTGGCAGAAATGTCTGTGTGTTGCTTACGGTGCTTGATATGCTGATTTCTTGATGGATCTCCAARCTGAAATACATTAGGCTCTCTGCAAACCGAAATACATTAGGCTCTATCACATAAATTTGTAAATTTAGAGGTTTTTGTTGTTGTTGTTGTTGTTATGTATATGTTTTCACTCCAAAGAACTATGTGCAAGTTTTCAAAATCAGGGTTCAGCTGCTGGATTTTAGCTTCCACGCTGTGCTTATACTTAACCAATCTTACAGCAACGCARTTTACTTCATAGTTACTTTTGCCCCAGTCCTTTCAGTGGAGCTCTTAGATTGCAGAAACAAGACATTGTAGGGTTTCTGACATTTTTTTTGCGTGATATTGCTTCAGCTTGATTCAGTRTTTAAGACAATAGAGTTTATGAGCAGAAGCTACTAATAAAAGAACAGAAAATGGAACTAATTGTTTGCCTCCTATTAAGATTTGTAGTGTTTATGAGGCAGACTCAGTAAAACATTCTTAGCTTAATTAGGGACATGGAAATGTGCTTTCTTGCCTAGAAAGACACTTCCTGCCCTGACATAAGAATAAATCCTAATTATTGTTAAGTAGTAATGAGTTTCTTAATGTTGTCTGACTCATCTTTGATCATAAACTTTATTTTCTGAGCAGACTCACATTTAGGAAAATACTTGCTCTTATGAAATGCCCAAAATTCTTCATGTGCATGAGTCTGCGTGACCTCTGTCTTCCCAATGCATCAAGAAGGATATGAACATGTCAGTGCAAACCTGCCAGTCATTTCACAGATAGGTTTAAAAAGTTGCTTATGGATTGGTTTTACAGCTGCATGTCTGATTTCACCTGTGCCTGCGATTTATAGTCAGTAAGAATCAAGTCATATTGTACAGTAAGTGAGGAGCACTTTGAATAAGCACATCAGGAGAAGCAGGAACACTTTGCGTTTTCCCATGTGTGGAGCATAAGGAGCGGGACGCAGGCATAACCAGGCGCACGCTTTGGCTGCCTCCTCGTGCCTGGGTTGCATCTGTGGCACCAGCTTCCCGGCCGGTGGCCGCAGCAGCTGAGCCACCAAGAGCTGAGTATCCCTGTCCTGCTGGATAATCCAGCCGCAGGTCACTAACCTCCTTGTGCCGCTGCACAAGGGAGAGGAAGCAGGAGCTGTAGCTCCCAGGTGGGTGTCGGACTCACCATCTCTCTCGGGGCTGCTTTCCTATCTGTGCAGCTGTCACATCAGCAGGCTCAAGGCTGCGCCTTGGCAGAGGAAGCATTTGCAGGGGTCTTCATAAAACCAGTGCTTTTATTTTTTTTAGTGATTTCACATCAATCTAGAGGTTATTCTCTGTCCTTATATTTAATCTTTAACACAATTTAAACTTTAGCGCATTGCTGTGGCTTAGTGGTTAAAACTTTGTCCGTATGAAATAAGTGACTAGAAAATACTGGAAAAGACAAGCCAGCCTATAGCCAGTGGTAAACTTTACTTGGTATTTTAGTTCTGAAAACACTACTTTATTTTTCTTTTTACTGCTGCTAGGCATGTCTCATGACTCAAAGTCATTTGTCATGTGTAAAATGGCACTGTGTCTGTGCAGGTACCATATCTTGAATCTAAAAAATTACATTGGACCTAATTTCCTAAGAAAAATTATTGATCTTGTCCACAAATAATGTTCCCGAATATGTCACACAGGGTTTTCACTACATTTGTGCAGCTTCTTGAGGAGATGCCAATACACAGATTAAATAGAAACTGCCAAGAAAGAGTGAATCCAGCATTTAAAATATTCTGCTTTTTCCTTTAATTTATTTTCTTTGCATATTTTTTTCTTCACATGTCAGAATAGGTTTGACTCGTGTATTAAAATGCACCCGTTTCACAGTATGCCAGCTACAGCAGACAGCGTATCATTTCCAATCCCGTGGAGACAGTTGTGTCCATTCTCCACCCGATGTAAACTGTCTGAATGCAAATCCTGTTTTGGTGCGATGCTGAACCCAGACTAATGCACCTTTTCTGTCACTAAGCCACTCTCGCCCACATGCAGCTCTGCTGTCGTCTCGCCRTAGCTGCCTCAGATCTGGTCCCCTTGATTTGGGGAGCGGGTGAGACTGACTGTGCCTGAGAGAGAAACATGAGTTTGGGGAAATCTCCCGTGTGTGGCTAAGCGGTTGTTATTTTAGGGATTACAGGAATGCCTTCCACATGTACCAGCTCGTTCTAGCTTAAGATTCTTCCAATTAAGATCTGTCAACAAGTGTTTGATCAAATTTCTGTGTTTCAGGTTGGGGAAGASTTTTGATATTGGCAAAATATTTCAAATGAAAAAAAAAAAAAAAAAAAGCCTTTAACTAGAATCGTATTTGTTTAAATAAATACAGATACACTTGCTACTAAATCCTCGGCTTTGATAACAACTAAGTGTGGGAGGCTGGAGGTTCATTGTTATAAATAATTGGTCTAGATGACATTTGATTTCACAGAGTATACATTTCAAATGGCTGTAATTACATGGAAATTTTAATAATAGACAATTACTCTCACCTCTATGGCAATTAGAGTAGTCTCACAGGAGAGGCTTATACTGGAAATACTTATAATTACAACGACTGAATTATTAGCCTACTTCACATAAGCAAAACATCCTATGTAGTCTGTGGTTATTAGACCCTCATCCTCGTTTCCTCTGTTCTTTTACCTTCCATGAAATTCTCTAGAAATATGAATTGTTAGCATTTGTTTTTCTGTTTCATTTTTGGACAAGTGCTCTTCAGCTCGCCTCAGTTGAAGGATTAGTTTAAATTTGGGCTATGGACAATTTTTGTACTGCTGTTTTTTTCAAAGGCCCCATTTCAGGACAGGGCTAACGCAGATCTGAAGATGTTCCTGAGAGGCTTAGCGGGCTATAGAGATTTCCCACTTGCTCATGCAAGTGCTTCCTTTGGATCGAAATATCTTGAAAGGAACACCTAATTTCCTTTGAATTGAAATATAATGATGSTTAAATGATATGGGGGCTTCAGTAAATCTGTTTGGATCATGTTCATGTAATTGTTTATCCTTGCATGCATATATATAGGATTTTTTGCTATACTGAAGCTAGTSGGAACAGGCAACTGCATGCCTATTTTGAATTGTTTTGCTCCACAGCAGAACCTGTACCTTATGATGGTTTATTTCTTTTTTTCTTRCATCCCTGTTGCTAAGAAGATGCTGAGGAGAGCTGAGTTGTTGGAAGGGATTCATAAACTCCTTTTGGCAATTATCACTTTTTTTTCCCCTCTACTTTGGCACTTTGCAGCGCTATATCTGCAATAGATCCAAAAGGCCTCATTTGTAGAAAGTTAAGAGAAACAGAACTGTAGAAATGGRCTTAAATAATGTGACTAATTACAGAAATTCAGGAAATAGATATTTCCAAATATAACAATTGTCACTGTTTCTTGACATAACCTCTACTCTGGAGAGTCTTGCTTTTGTGAGGTATTCAAAGATTTGGCTCCTGCCATGATGCATTTGAGATGTCAGAGTAGCTCGCTGCAGAGAACAAGGATCAAATTCGTCCAAAGTAAAGTTACAAGCAGCAGTTCACCGCATCAGCTGGGGGAAAGATACTCCTGAGCTATTCACCCAGGAGGCCTTTTCCTCAGAGTTAGCTGAAATGCAGGAAATTTTAACATACCAGACCCAAAGAACATTTGAATTGACATAAAATTCGGTGTGCTATTGTCGTTATTCAAGGCTGAAGGTGCAATTAGGCCTTTTGGTGTTGTAATACAGAATCAGGTCAGAACTGGTCACCCAAGCACTCCAGATTCATCTCATCTGTCTTCACCTGTTGCAAGACACCTAGTGCAAAATGGATATTTAGGCTTCCTGGGTATCCAGTGGCGTGGAAGGACACCTCTGAAGATATCCCTCTGAATTCTGTGGGATAAATTCTGTGGGATTGCCCTTCAGTTCCCTGGMTTCTCAGCTGAGGGAGATCTGGCTTCATTTAAATCCCACCCCAAGTGTGAGAACGTTGTTTTTGCCCTGTTCTTATCAGTCTTGAGYCACTTTCTGTATTTCTAATAAATAGATAGCCACCTAGAGCACTTAAACAGGAAAAGCAATGATCACCGAAGACAAATAACAGGCAATATAAAGAAGAGGGAAATCCAGTCCTACTCAGTCATCTTCCCTATAATCACTGAGGTGCTGAAGTTAAGAGAAGCAAAATGAGTGGARTTTGCTGGCCTTTTACTAAGCTTCTTTGCACATCCTTGTCTAGCCTAGGAGTGACTGTATTTCTCCTGCCCAGTCCTTAGGATGTGCACCTTGGAGGCTCGTTTGCAAAATGGTTCTTTCTGATTAAGTTTTGCTTGCTTGCATAAAACAATTAAGAGAAAAGTGTATGCTGCAGATATAGGAATGATTTTTTTAAAGGTGGTTCATTTCTAATTGCATCTGTTTTTTTTTTTTTTTTTCTTTTCACAGCTGCTTGCAGAAGACTGGCCCTTTGGGGTTGAAATGTGCAAATTAGTACCCTTCATTCAAAAGGCATCAGTGGGCATCACAGTGTTGAGTTTGTGTGCCCTCAGTATAGATCGGTGAGACCCATTTTTTTCACTACACTGTATAGTTTCTATTAAATAAGGGCACTGGCTCCAGTTCTCCTTTCTGTTCAGTTGATGTAATGCTAATGAGCTGTATTTAAACYCACATACGTTTCCTTACTGTAAACATGTCCTGTTGCTTCAGGTACCGGGCGGTTGCTTCTTGGAGTCGCATCAAGGGAATAGGAGTGCCCAAGTGGACTGCAGTTGAAATTGTGCTCATCTGGGTTRTATCAGTGATACTGGCTGTTCCAGAAGCTATAGCATTTGACATGATTACAATGGAGTACAGAGGGAAGGATCTGAGAATTTGCCTGCTTCACCCCACACAAAAAACATCCTTTATGATGGTAAGACAAGTGTCTCTATCAYACCTTTCTGAAAAAGTTCATTGAATCTTCTCCATGTACTGTAGATTGACATGTTTACAGACATATGTGAAGTATATGTGAAAGTAATGTTGAAATGAAATATATTTCTGAAATATATTGGTTAAAAGAGGGACATTCAGAAATACTTCTCTTTTTGTAGGCTTTGGGCATACCACTTTCTTGTCCTGTTTCCTCATCTATAAGATCCTTCTTATGGAGAAGTTTTTAACGACAGGGTGACCAAGTAGATGAGACTTGCAAAATTCTCAACATTCAACTCCTAACAAATGTTTTTCTTTTTCCTTCTAGTTTTACAAGCAAGCTAAGGACTGGTGGCTGTTCAGCTTTTATTTCTGTCTGCCGTTGGCCATCACAGCATTTTTTTATACTCTGATGACCTGTGAGATGTTGAGAAAGAAAAGTGGGATGCAGATAGCTTTGAATGACCACTTGAAACAGGTAAAAAATTATTCCTTACACATCTGCTGATTGTGGAGAGACTGACAATAACGAGTGTATTAACTTACACACCACATCCTTATTCTGTTCTTAAATGACAACTGTGAGGTTGTTATGGAGGAAAAGTTTAGAGGTACTGCTGAGCTCGTGTATATCAGAGTATTCATATTTCTCAAGTTTCCTTCAGAAATCTAAGACTTTGACGGTAACAAAACTTTATTTTCTTGCCTAGTGTTCATCCTCCAGGATTTATAGTTTTTATTTCTTCTTCACAGTTATGAGAGCTGGATATTTTCTAATRAAAACTAAAATTTCACTGTAATTCAGAAGCTGGTGATGTGAGGATACAAATTGGTTTGAATCAGTTTTATGCCAGACTGTAGGAAGGTTGCTAGAACAAAACACATTTCCTAAGACTAGTATTGGACCAAACAGAATTRGAATTACCATAAGTAACTTGAATTCAACTGCATTTGTATGATAAAGTACATTTGTGATCCTTTTTAGTAGCTTTATAGTTTGCATGATAATTTGCAATTAGTGTAAACAAGCACAGTCCTCTTCTCTTGTAGTCCTCATTATGACATTTAAAATTAGACCTGAAATCAAAGCACAAAAAATATAGTTCAAAACAAGTTGGCRTTTGAAAGTGTGTGTAATGGTGGGAATAATTTCTTCTTTTTTTATTTTTAATTTGTGTGTTTGTTTGTCCTTGATTTTTTTTTCATGCTACAGTTCATATTTTTTTGAAAGGGAGATTCTGAGACTCTGTGCAAGGCACTAAAACAGTAGAAGAGGTCTCAAAGTGCAGTGCRTTGTTCCAAGAAAACAAGACTTCAGATAGACTCCTATTTTGATAGCTCTATTTTTTCTKATCAAATATTTTGATATTAGAAGATAATGGCAATGGAGTGGAAGAAACTGCAATACCATTCTTTCCAATTTTATTTTCAGAGACGTGAGGTGGCCAAAACTGTGTTCTGTCTGGTGCTTGTCTTTGCCTTGTGTTGGCTGCCACTTCATTTAAGCAGAATATTGAAGCTCACTATTTATGATCAGAAAGACCCAAATAGATGTGAACTCTTAAGGTGAGATTGCAAAATACCCACCTACTGCTACTTTCATTTATTCTCTTTAATCATATTTGGATTTCCCAATGAACTAATTGTGTGTGTCTGAAGATCTCTCTGCTTTTTCTGGTTTTACTCGAGTTACAGAGTCAGGAAATTACAGGGAATTCCAGGAACACAGGGCTTCTCTGCTGTTTGTCCTATCTGTCTTCCTCATGATCCTTTCTGCATCTGCCCTACTGTCTCATTACTTGCCTACGTTGTGTCCCCATTTTCACTTTACACAAAAAAGCTAGGGTTGAGTCGCTGAAGAAAAAAGAGTAAATATTTCCTTCCAGAACTTAAGGTGATTGGATTTTCTTTAATTACTTTTATAAGAGTAGACTAAAGATTCAGACTTAAATTAAGCATAGTTATTGCTTCTGTGAGCTCGTCCTAGTCATGTTATCCCCGTTCTTATAATTATACTTAATTGTCTTGGTGAGTAAAGTGGAATCCAATTTATGCTGTTAAGTACCAAACCTTTTCAGAAAAACAAAAAAAAGTGTCTCACTTGCTTTGTTTTCCCCACAGCTTTTTTCTTGTAATGGACTACATTGGTATTAACATGGCTTCACTGAATTCCTGCATCAACCCAATAGCTCTGTATTTGGTGAGCAAAAGATTCCAAAACTGCTTTAAGGTAAGAGACTCTGTGCAACTGCTCCTTTGGTTAAAACATGATATCAGCAGTAAAATTAATTCCATAACATCCACAAAGGAGTGGAAATGATAATTAAATGTTACTTTAATTTTTAATTGAGTTATGATGAATATTCTCCCCCTTTCCCACTGAAGCTTCCTAGAAGGAAATTAAAGAGTCACAGGGGCAAAAAGAGAAAGCAAAAGAAAAGCCAGTATAACAAACCTGCACAGCACTGTGATAATGAGGCTGCATCACTTCCCGACTGGAGCTGGCAAACAGCCACCTCAAACGCACTGACCAAGCACTCAGGCTTCTCTGCAAYGTTTCACATAGACATATCCTCTGTAACCCGGAGGACACTGACCACAGTGTCCCTGCATCCCGATGGAGCGCTTGGGACAAAGAGCTTGGGACAATCAGTATTCTCTCGGCCCTTTCCAGTAACTCCATTTAAAAATAAAAGGGTTTTTTTTTCATGTTTTTCCTCTGTTTGAAAGAAGAACCTTAGGCACTAGTTCTGCCTGAGTTTATGAGGCTCTGGATCCCATGTGAATTGCAACCGAAATCTACCATCTTTCACCAGACCTTCAGCCTTCTAGTCATCCAACTCTTAGCCATTTTGCTTGGAAAATGTTCAGATTTGATGCTCAGCAACACCAGAGTGTGATTTTTTTTTTTTTTTAGAGCAATCCAGAGTCCCCTTCTTTGGGCCCTTCCTCAGGATTCTTATTTTACTTAAGACCAAGTTGCAGATTTCTCTTTGATGCTAAGCATTTAACAATTGGGCCCTGCAAGGCCTATCACCTGGTTGTCCAACTCCTTTACTGGCTACATCCTTCAGCCAGGACATTTTTATAGAGACTTTAGTTACCGTCTTACCTTCCGTGTCTACTTTACTGGCTCCCTGAACTACTGTAGTTGAGAGCAACCAAAGGGCAGCCAACAGCATCAGGAAAGGATCTACAGTACATCCAGGAGTCTTTTGAACTGTGTTTCTTCTTTGCCATTCTCTTATTTAATTACTTTTTCCTCCCTAAAAATAAACTAAATAGCAGCATCTCGGGAATTACTGTGCATACATGTCTAACAGGAAAGGTTATGGGACAAGGAGGAGTCTAATTTTATTTTCAGGTGCCTCTGGAATTTCAGTTTAGATTCAAAGTTATGTGCCTGTTCCCAGGACATTATTCTTCCTGCTGTTCAATCCTCAGATTTTTTAATGGGATGTCTCAGTAATTATCTAGTTGTCATTCTGGCTTAGCAATACTTGTTTGCTTACACTTTAACACCAAAATGGTAGCTTAGCCACTTTCCATTTCCTTCTGTACCAGTGCATTTGGACAGTGTTTTGATGCATTTTGCTGCACTGACCAAACAAAATGATGTCAAATGTTCATTCCTTCTGTTTTAACAGTCATGTTTGTGTTGCTGGTGCCAATCCAAAGATCTGTTGTCCCTGGAGGAAAGGCAGTCCTGTTTAAAGTTCAAAGCCAACGATCATGGATATGACAATTTCCGCTCCAGTAACAAGTACAGCTCTTCCTAGGAGAGGCCGAAGAGGTGTATTCTCTAAAGTGAATGCTGGTGCCTTTCTGAGCAAGAGTGGCAAGTACTTGCGATGAGAGAGAGATAGAAGAACCTTTAGAAAAAGCGAGTTTCGCGTTTGCACGAAAAGAAGGAAATCGTGAGAAATAATTGCACAAAATCTGCGTAACTTTCAAAATCGCGGACATTTGTGAAATGGTCCTGGACAGAACGCGAAGAAAAGCATCGAAATAACAAGTCATTGTTAGCACTTGAATACTTCTGAATCAGCACTTCCAAAAGATCCCCACTTCCTCTATATTAAACAATCATTTGTATTCACTATAACAGTTGTAGGAACTGGAGTCACTGTAATTACCAAGTAGCATAATATAACTTTAATTGGATCAATGCCAGTATTATATATAACTCCACACATTATCTTTTATAAAGCAGATTAACCATCATCACTATTGTCTTTTTTTAAAAATAAAACAAGGAATATTTTGTAATGCTGGTTTAAGTGTAAAAAAAGTTGATTTTTTTTTTTTACTGGAGGTATTAAAGAGGTAGCTAATAAAATTATTAAAGGCTGCAGTCAATTTGAAAGTGCATTTCACTTTGATTGTTGTTTTTATAAGGAGCTTCCAAGACCTCTGTAAATACCGTTCTGTCACCAGTGTGCCTGGTCCGTGCATTTGGCTGCACTCTGGATATCACCACTCTTTCACTGTCTTCATGTTACTCGTGTTTCCTATGACAGCAGAGGAGAGAAAAGCACTAAAAGCAAATATGTGTTATCATAGAATGGCAGAAACTGGGGCTAGGATTGGAAACCAGCTATTTTTAACTGAAAACGAAGTGATTGTCCCTTGTTGACTGTGGGCATTTGAGCGAGAACCTGAGGGCTGTTTAGCAACAAATAGCTGTTGTGATCCCAATACTGCTTTGGAGCCAAATCCTTTAGAAACACTAGATAGTACAAAATGGAACAAAGCAAAACAGAGGGAGACAATGAATTTGAAGTTCTATTTGCATTTAAATTTTAATCTTTGTAGAGAAAATAATTCATAGACTGTACTTCAAAAAAAAAAACAGTACTATGTAGCACACTAATCTTGCTATTAAGACACGCTTTACTTCTGTAGTTCCATGGTTATGGGCTTAAGAAGGTGTGTGATTATTTTCTGCTTCTGTAAATAGTTTAGTGAAGCATAATAAATTATAAAGTATTGAAATACGGGCAGGACCCTGTAAGAAAAGAGAAAGATGAAGATGCCTGTAGTAAACATGATGCTTATTGCCAGGAGCAATTCACATTTTGTACATACATGACAGGTCATTCTTTGGCTTTTTCATTTCCTACTAATTTGTTGCCGTTGTCCCCAAAGACTTATTAACATAAGTGTAGTGCATGAAGGAATGAGATTTTCACGAAAAGATAACATATAACATGCTTTTTTAAAAGCAGTGTTTTCAATAGACATGATATCTTGTAATAGAAATATATATCAAAACTCAGGATTTTTTTTTTTTATTTCCAAATTTCACATATAAGGATTTTTTCCTTTTTATCAGCTTTGATTAACTTTAGATTTTTTTTTTTTAATTAAGTGCCTTAACTCTGCTCAGGATGAAAACCATTTTTATCAAATCTTTATCTGGTGTTCCCTGGGATGAGGATCATCTCGCCTGACTTTAGGTGCCTACAGCACACCTTGTAGACACCTGAACACAGGTGAGGTGAAGCCCATTCCTGGTGCTGCCCTGACCAGAGCGAGCAGCACTGTGCCTGTATAGACAAGCTGAGGACCTTGGCTGGAGCCTGTGCACGTGTGTGGATAATCTCCCAGCTTCCTGGGATGCTGGTACCATCTGTCTGTAGCACGTGCACCCAACTGCTCAAATTCTAAGCTTTCATAAATTTAAAGTTTTGTTCCTTAGGCTTTGAACAGGAAATGATGTTTTTCTTCGCCAGGTCCTAAACTGTTAGGTAGAAGTTTAGAATTTTAAATGAAATGAATTCCTTCTATCCTGAAAGGTAATAATTGGCTGTTTTGACCTTAAAGCTTATTACTCATTTGTTTACAGAAGAACTCTCTCATGGTAAGCCATGAATATCACTCCACTTTGCCTGCAGGTATTTTTGTGAAATGTGTTTCATCTGCTAAGAATGGATAATCAGTTAAATCCTAAGTTCGATACTGGTCAGTGTTATTTTTATCAAGTCATATCATTATAATATTGTACATGTATATTATTATTTTTATTTAAAATATAGCTGTTGTATTGGCAACATGTGTAACATATTTTTTTGTTTTGTGTGAACTAATTCCCTGGTAGGTCCTCCTAAGTCAGACATTTAGGTTTTGCAGACAAAGTGCATTTATACTGCCTACTTTTCAGAAGTAATATACTTATTAGCACACTTCTTTACTTTTTTTTTTTCTTTTTCCAGTATTCTTGAAGCAGCATTTTTGCTGAAGCTCTCCTATAATAAAAGTTTCCTTTGAATAAAATTTTCAAGTATACACTTAGAAGAACATACAGGAGAACTCAAATGTGCCTCTGTTCCAGCAAGAGTTGAGTCTGTCTTACGGAAGACAGGCATTCCCAAAAGTCCTTAGTACAGGTTTATTTCTGAACCGTGGGTTCAGAAAGACATTCACTGAAGACAGTGAATGTTTAACCATTCACTTAAGCTGGAGCAGAATTTGGATACAACATGAACTTTTTAAAAACATGTATGTGAAGTTTGCTGTCTTAACTAAATACAGGATTTTATTTTATTTTATTTTATTTTTTGTTTTTGACAAGGGAGTTGCCTAGAAAGGTTAGAAATGAGAAGCTTTTGCAGCAAAGAGCTTGTCCAAGGCTACCTAGTTCAGCCCCACCGAGGGGGCTGCACAGAGCAGAACAGCCGTGCATCCTACACAGGAGTTTGGTGCACTTGCTCGCGGGGGTTTAACATAAAGGATGCATCATCAGTCCCAGTGGAATGAGGAGTTAACACAGAATGGCTCAATATGGAAAAAAAAATAAAATAAATGACAGGACATCTCTGAATTTTGGCCTTAAGAAAATAGATTTTGCTTCCTCTGCTGTTCTGGATTGTGTCTGCACACAATACTCTGAGAATTTAGAGGGAATTTCAGACTGGGTGGACTGAACTGATAACGCTGGTACTACACCTCAGAGAATAAAATGCAAAATTCAATGTGTATGGAGCATCTACTGTGAGTTTGGTTTTTTTTTTTTTGTATTTCACTGTCCCAGAATGTCCCTCAAATGAGACACAGTTGGCGTAGCAAAAGAATGTTGTAYGTACTGAAATGAAAATGTTAAAAGGTCTTTTAAAATTGTTCTGTAATTTAGCTATGTAAAATAATTCTGTATTTCRTTTTCTGTGGTCACTTACAATAGTAACCTCTGTGGTTCACACAGTGTAAACCAACTAAATTACCAATAAAATATTTGTACTTTTGATTCATTAAGAAAAGCCCTCCCTGACCTTTCTTCTTCCATAGGACCTCATTTAATGATTTAACAGTGATGTATAAAAAAGAAGCAACTGTTTCAGAACTAAAAATCAGGGCCTTTGTGTGAACTAGCTTTGTGCTGCTAGTTGAAAACTGGAAAGAGTTCAGGCTTGCCTGCACATTGCAAAACTGTCCGATGTTTGTTGGAACAATCAGTCATGCCTATCTTTGCTCCACTTGTTTTTGCTCAAAATGTCAGTTGCAATCGCTTCCCTACACACCCATATATAGTAACAAATCCTCTTATGTTGGGACATAACAAATAAAAGCCCTGAAACTCTTAATTCATTAATTTAGCRGTGAGTGCATTCTGTGCTGGACTATTGGTTGTGAAAACCTTCAACCTTTTTACAAGATGTCAATGTAATTTTGCGCTTGTTTTCATTTCCCTTTTCTTGAAGCAATGGAAAGCAGTATCAGACAACGTGTGCTGCAGTCAGTAATGTATGTAATTTCATATGCTTGAAAAATCTGTGCATCCCAAAATGTATTTGTTGTTATTCCTCTTAATTTTATTCCAAATAGTTTAGGTTTCCTTCTGTTTAACGGTGGCCTGCTGCACCCATAGAGATTTGTCTTTTTCTCATGGTCTTTTGGACCTTACTGCATAGTTTCAAGTTTCCTGTGCTTGAAACAGAGACACTTGCAGAGATGAGGTGCCTGTAAGTGAATATTCTGCTTAGTTTCCCTCCTGCTCAATTCACTGGCCATTCCTTCGTCTTTGGCCCTTCCTGGTGCTACGTCCAAAGCCTTCACCAACCGCTGCTTGCAGAAACTTTTTTTTTGCATATTTCTTTTAGACCCTGCAGGTTCATATATGCAGTCCATAGCCCTCCTGCCACAGCTAGCTTGCTCCCTGACCACAACTTGCTTTTCTATTTGCCTCATCCCCAGTTTTATCTCCTTTACTCTTGGTTGTTTCCTTTGGGGGATTAAGTGTGCAGCTCGTTGTCATTTTTCCTACGCAGACCAGAGCTCACACAGCAACGTGGATGCACAGGTAGTTTATATGTCCCTCAAGGGCTGACTCAACTCTAGCCACGCTGAGAGGGGCAGATTTGGCGCTCTGGTGTCCACTTGGGGATGTTGGACGGGGTGGTTGGGTCTAGCCCATGGGCCCTCCTGCAAGGGGACGGAGCAGCAAGCAGCGTGCAGGAGCAGGCAAAACTTGGCTGCTTTTTACTGCATGTTCCTATAGAGGATTCCAAACAAATCCGTGTTGTCCTGGTCACCTTCCATCACCGTCAGCAGCAGTGACTGGGTTCCTAAGCCACAGCTGATAGGTGATGTATTTGTTTGCAATTTCTACCTTAAAGGTGCTATGAATAAAAACCCTATCTGGTATCTATCTGGCCTTTCAGTCTTTTATGTACTTGTATTTGGCTGTGAAGAACATCCCCTTTGAATCCCCTCACCCTCCCCACTGAAAGAGCATCCCCAGGCTCGTTTTCTTCTCTTCAACAATGGTGTATTTCTTCTCTTCTTCTATGGTATAGAGCATAGCTAAAGGAACAACCTGCAATTCGTCTTTAACAGCAGTACTCAATATCCTAAGCCTGTGAATCCTCTGTGAGAAGCCAAATACGTGTTAGTGATGGGAGGGCAGGGACTGGAAGGAGCTTTACCCTCRTGATCTGGTAACTAGTTCGGTTAGGCTGTACTTCATCCACCTCACCAGGGAACTGTGCATCAAATACAGTAATWCTGTACACAAGCTAAGAGTGTGCCTGTCTGTGCCTACCTACTACTGTAGCAGTGCTGCCATGAAACTTCCCGTCCCACATTACTGTGCTTGAGGAGGGCCCTGGAAAAACTTGAGAGTCAAAACTTAAAGGCAAGTAAAACGTGAAAGGAAAGCTCTCATGGAATAGGTTAATGATGCATTCTTCACAAAGTCACATTTTC